ATGACAGATGAAGCACCAAGGCTCAGAGACAAGTCATGCTGCGTTAAAGTGGCAGTGTCAGACTCGGAATCCTGACTTCTCAGCCACTGGTGCAGTATAAGGAGCCGTAGAATACTGGAGAAGGGCCCTTAGAGGTTATCCACTCGCTGGGGGTGGGGGCTAAAAAGACGTGCTGTCCAAGGTCACACTGCTCACGAGTGACAATGAATTCAGTTTGCCCATGACTCCCATTATAAGTGTGCTGGCATGTTGCCACAAATCTTATTAGCTCCAAGATGAGACAAAAATTGCATTTGCTAAGGGCTGGCAATGTGGTGTGAGCCTGTAGTCCCGGCTACCCAGAAGGAAGAAGGGGGATTGCTTGAGCCCAAGTGTTCAAGGCCAGCCTGGGCAACATAGAGAGACTTCATCTCAAAAAACAAACACCGAAAAAGATCATGGCATCCTTTTTAAAAAATGTATTTATGTCAAGCAAGGGCATGCCACAGTAGTCAGAAAGCCCAGGATAGCCAGGAAGTGAGGCTATGCCCCCAGAGCTGTGCGCTTGGCCCTGCAGCCCACTCTGTGGATACAGCTTGTGTCCCGACAGCAGATGCAAGGTAATGATGCCTTTTCAAAGGCAGAGGGGGAGAGGGCCTCGCAGCTGCCTTGGTGGTACCTCCTAATATCTCTTTGGCTTTCGTCAGGAGCTGGTGAGAAACAGGAGCAAGAATAGGGTGATTTATATTTACACGTGTGAGCCTTCCAGCAGCAGCTCAACAGTCTTGGACAAGTCTGCCTGAGCTTCTGTGTACCCCTCTGTGCGATGGGCTCAGCATGAGGGAGTGGAGTCCCTGGCATGTGGCTTGGGGATGACAGGTGCTCAGTAAGCAGTAGCCACCACGGTGAAGATGAGGACAGAGAGGGCACAGACTGTCCCCAGATAGTACTAGCTGCGGGGCTCTTAACGAGTGACCTAAAGTCGCCTTTCCCTCCTGACACTGGGCACCTATGACAGTATCGTACACAACTCTGCGCTGAATGTGGGCTCAGCGCTCAGCTACTGAGCGCTTTAAATGGGGCCTAAGGAGCTGAGGTTTCAGTTTTGATGGTCACTTGTCAGCTAGTAGGCACTAGATAGCGCAGAACTAGACGGAGGCTCAGGGAGGTGAAGGCTATGCAGGGAGTGCCGAGCCGAGGACAGTGCCGGTCTGGTAACCTGGTGTGGAGGTGCTGCCCGGCCCATGGTGCAGTTAGCAAATGGCAGCTCTCTGGCTGTCCCCATTGCTGGGTCACTGGCAGCACCTGGTGCCCTCTTGCTGGCCTAAGGCTCCCTTTTCCTTGCGGGGCAGGTATCACGCCAGGCCAGTTGTTCTGGCCACAGTTCTACTACGGACTACCCATGTGACCGAGTTTTTCCTGAGATCTCTTTCTTCACTGGAAAAGTATTTTCATGACCCTCCAGCCTCAGAGCATTGCCACCAGAATCAAGTAAATGACCTCAAGTGCTCTGGGAGCAAGGACCAGGACAGACACGAGGGACACCACGAGGAAGCGGGAAGCCAGGTTTAGTGTCAGGGAAGCTGGTTCCATCTCTCGCTAGCTGAGGATCCTTAAGTATGAGGCTGAGGTCTTACCTGTCAACTCTTTTACTGTAAAAGAAAGTAAAATAAAGAGCTATCATGTCACTGTAAGGATCAAACGAAATAATGCAAACGAATAATGCATCCACTGAGCCGCTTCTGGCCCTGGTCCTGCTGCCCCCAGTGTGTAGGTCAGACGTCTCCAGGGGACCAGCCCAGCTCCTCCCCACAGGACCAGCTTGCCTTCTTTTTCATCTTATTCCTCTCACAGAGCCCACCTTATCCGTACATCGGAAGTATCCAGTGGGCTCTCTGAATGGGAGCTTTGGGACCCCCAATAACAAGACAGGTGCCACTTTTACTGAGCGTTTGTCACATGCCAGGGCCTGCACTAGAGCCTTCCATAGGACACTTTCAAAGTCGATGACCCTAAGCAAGCATCAGGGGCAAGTCAGGAGAGCAAAACTGCTGGGAGGTGCCCTGCATGCGTGTGCTAGGGGCTGTGCCCAGGAGGCCCGCCGGGCTTGTGGGGGTCCTGCATCTTAAGGATGAGCTCCAATGGTGCTAGCAGGTGTCAACCGAGGACAGCTCGTGCCACAGTAAGGCAAAGGATGCACTGTTTTTGCTACTGGATACCATATTCCCAGTGATGAAAGCAGAGTTCTAGGCCTCACTGGCTGCCAGGGCAAGGAGAGCGAGCAGGTGAGGAGACTGGTTAGGAGTAGTCAAACAGCCCAGGTATGACAAGGCTATTTAAGGGCAGGAAGGGGTGAGCTGCATTTTCTGAGCGATTAGGTATTAAGCGAGGACTGCTTTAATATAGCACGGTGCTTAAGAGCAAACACTGGAGTCACACAGCCAGGTTCAAGCCCCAGCTGTGCTCTCCCTGGCTATGCAGTGATATCACTTCTCTGGCGTCGCCCCTCACCCAGGGAAGCTAAGGCCATCAACATCAGAGGGCCGATGCTGCGACTTAATGGAGTAAGAGTTACATAAAGGTCTTCGTCCAGTGTCCAATGTGTGGTAATCACTTAATAACAGAAAATAGCATGAGAATATTTCTAAAAACATTAACCCCGTCCCCCAAAGACAGCACAAACAAAATCCGCTCAGCATTTGTAGGCACCAAGAGCCCTGGTTCTCTGGTCTAGACTGGTATGGGTGTCCTGGTACTCATTTCTCACAAGTAACCCTCTCCTGTCTCACGAGGTGTGAGCTGCCTGGGCGCAGGAGCTACGTGCTGTTACCAGGCCCACCCTGCCCTCCACATGGTCTGGCATGGGACCAAGCACATGGCAGGAGCCAACAGGAGCTACGTGCCACTGTTACCAGGCCCACCCTGCCCTCCACATGGTCTGGCATGGGACCAAGCACATGGCAGGAGCCCGAGGACTCCCTGAACTTCAGGTCTCAACAGCCCTGCGCAATCAGACACCTGATGGCCAGGCTGTCTGGGTGTATGTGTGTAGGAACAAGGACAAAGCACTGCCTTTGCCCTTGAAGGGGTCACAGCCGGTGAGGATCTTAAGTCACCCTGTGACAGTCTAATAATCCCATGCTCCCAGCCCACCTGCGCCCTACTTGATGTCTCTCATCCCCACATGCACAGGAGCAGATGCAGCCACCCTTCTCCTCAGCTGCAGTCCCTGGGCTCCGAGACAGCTCTGGCGCTGGCCTTCTGGAAAGCAGGCTTGAAGTGGAATGAAAAGCTGTTCGGTCCTATGCCAGCCCCACAGGGGACCCCCACACCCTGCCCACTTTATCAGGCCCTCCCGATGGCAGGGCTGTGAAATCTCCCCTGGAGGGGTCTTGGGTCTCTGGACTGACCTTGTCCACGTTTGATCAGCTGTCTCTGGCCTGCCTTGGGGGAACGGGTGTAAGAGGAGCGGCAGGAGTGGTGTTTGATCAGGGCAGCTGGGGAGCCCTGGCTGATAGCTGCTCTTAGCCTTCTGCTAATCTCTTCTCAGAGGACAAGGAGAGGAGGATGTTCTGATAGACTGGCCTGCAGGGGGCTGGTGCACAGCCTCGCTGAGAGAAGTGATACTTGGAAGTGGGGTTCTCCCTGAGCGGAGAGAGGCAAGCCCAACTGCTGGTCCCCTCTAGGCGCCCAATGTGGGAGAAACCAAGTCAGTATGTGGTCCCTGTCCTCAAGGCATTCAGAAGAATCCACCCCAGGAGAGGAGAGTGACAGCATATCCACCACTGGTGGGAAATGGCTCACACAGGTCTGGGGGGTAGTTCCTCTTGCCCCCCAAAACTGTGAGAATGGGGTCAGAGTCCTGTGGAGTCTCACAGAGGCAACAGCCACTCTGCACCCAGAGTACACTGTCAGGACCAAGTCTGCAGAAGAGACACAATGTCACAGTGGATATGCTTCCCCCACCAAAAAAATAGAAAGGGCTGTGGGTGTAGCCCAGAGTAAAGGCCCCGCCCCAATCCCCAGTACTGCACACACACACTCGTGTGCACACACAGAGGAAGGAGGCCAGGCAACACCGCACTCACTTTTCCTTTCCCCTTGCTCTTGCTGATGTGCTCAGAGGCGACCCCTCAGCTGCTGAGCCTCAGCCCTGGTAGAACCGGTTCCCCTTGTCCCTGTCTACTCCGGGCAGAGGCTCTGGGTTTACTTGAGTGCAGCCCAGAAAGCACAATCTCACCTCTTCTCGTTTGTCTGCCCCGACATCCCCTTAGGCACTTTAAGTCAGAAACTTTAGCAGCCATCACTTAGGAAGCCAGTATATTGTCAGGCACTAAACAAATGTTAATAACTTCTCTCCTCATGATCATTCCAAGGTCACCCTTTAGTAACAGGTGGGACTGGGAAGCTCCCAAATCCAACCTTTCCTACTATGGCATGGCCTCTCCCACCAGCCACCCAGGTCCAGGAGAGGATAACCTGCTCTCCAGCAAACCTGCCAAGCTGGCTGACCGGGAGGCAGCCCCATTAGTTACCCTCCTGGCTGCCTGGGACATACTCAGCAGCCCCGCCCCACACACAATGTACACAGCCAGACTGCAGACACTGTAGGCGGAGGGGTGGGCCCTCATGTAGATGCCTGTGGCTCTGCACCAGGAGAGTCCCAGGGGAAGGGGAAGTGGGCAGAGACGCCCAGGCCCACAGTGAGCTTAGCTTCCAGGGCTGCGGGACTCAGCAGCCTCCCCTCCCCTCCCCTCACAGGCTGGTCAGCTCCTACAAGCACCTGCACCTCCTACCTGTGCTTCTCCCTCTGGTCTCCTTCCTGGCTGTTAGCAATGTGACATTTTTGGCTGTTCCCTGGGAAAGATTTCTGCTTATTTTATGGTTATCTGCTCAGCATTGGTACTTTGGGGGTACGTGAGATTCAAGAGATAAATGAAAAGTAGTGTGTGTTTTAAGGGTCCCTAAGGATTCAGAAAGGAAAACACGTAGCTCCAGAAAATTCAGGGAATGACTGGCTGTTCTATAAAAAACTTTATTAATAACTAAACATTTTACACTACATTCATTAAATCCTGGCTTTCAATATATCCTGTATTGTATGAAGTGAAACCATTTGCTGGGAACCAGGAGGTGGGAACTCAACGAGCACTCACCAGGATCACACAGTGGCATGCAGAGATTTACCAAGAGTGAAACCAAAGCCTGTGCCCTGAAACATGGCCCTCAAATGAGACTGCGCCACAGGACAATCCCTGGGCTGTGCTAACATGAAGGCACACAGGAGTCCCTAGGAACCTGGGCCCTCAGGCCTGTGCCCACTGGACAGGTACCGAGAGTCTGGGACACAAGAGTCCACCTGAATCTCAGGCAGCATAGTTTTTTCCAAGTACGTATTTTATTTGTATGTATTTGCACACATTAAACATGGAGTAACAGTTTGTAACCCAACTTACCCAGCATCACATGGGGGCTGATTGCCCTGACTGCAATGGAAACAGGTGTGACTTGGCCTTGCTAAAGGAAAGCATGACCATTTCCACAATTTGGAGGCAATCTAAATTAGCCCAGAGATGACATTTCTCCCCCCAACAATTCATCCCCCAAAGTACTGATATCTTCTTTCCAGGTAGAGTTGCAGGTGTAGCAAGTTTCTGAGTTTCAGCTGTGATGTTGAGCTGTTGGCCCAAGTCCTACCAGCCCCAAAGTTTCTGTGGCAACAAAACAATGAACTTGCCTCTCTTCAACCCCAAGTCTTTTCTTTAGTTCCATTTTCTTCCTATATCCCAAGGGTTTCTGGGGTGCACTGCATCACACTGTTGAACCCTCTTTTTGGAAGGCCTAAACCACTACAGCCTCTTCTCTCATTGTCCACCTTTCGAGGCCCAATTTAACAGTCGTGCTGCTTGCCCCCTAGAACCACCTGTGTACTCTGGGCAAGGCTAGCAGGTCCCTCCTGCCCTTCACCAGTACAGGGCTCAGGCACATGTGACTTTAAAAGGCATACCCTCCCACCTCCAGTATGTCATGAGCCCCTGGGGTAAGAAGGAACTTTTAGGGCCCCCCTCACCTTTCCCTGACACTATGAATCTGCCCGTTTGGGATCGGGAGAATAAACCTTGTCTCCTCCATGCACCACGTGTACCTCATTTCGTCCCTCAGCCCTGACCACCAGAGCTCTGGCCTGAGGGATGCGGCAGAGGTGCCTCTGTGATCAGCCGCAAATCAGCAGCTTCCTCAGGGGGATGCTTTCCAAATGCAGAGCTGCTGAGACAGAGGAGGCAGGCTTCACACATGAGAACTTGCTCATTGCCCTGTTGCTGCCCCTCTGCTCCAGGCTCTGCTCCTGCATCTGAAGAGCAGGACTTCTGTCTGCCTATGGTAGCCCCGCTCTTCTGTCACCCATCTGCGGTGTCACTTACCTGTGACGGGCAGATCTTGTTCCCTAACTGACCCCACTCTTCCCACGGTCAGACTCTAGTTTAGACTCCTCATCAGCCTGATCCTGAGCTTTGGGAGCAGAGGCGGCTTGGGGTCCCCCTGAGCAAATCCACACATTCCAAGAAGCCTCGTGACTCCTCCAACAACGACATGAGCCAAAGGGAATGTGGGTGCCACAGTGAAAGCAAGAGGTGTGGACAAAGGAGACCCGCTGGCGATGTGCTCCATGGCAGCAGGTCAGAAGTCTCTTGGGCACAAGGGGGAAAGCTGAAAAAGTCTTCCTTCATTAAAATCCACATCTCCGCCAGAGAAAAACACTGGAATTCCAGGCAGCCAGTGAAAAGGCCCACTCAGCCGGCGCTGGGCCTAGAGTGGGCCCTTGCCGAACTCTGCCCAAAGCCAGGAGCACTGGTCTGTGCTGCTCTGTGCCTCCTGCCCAGTGTGGAAAGAGTGCATCTGGTGGTCTGGCAGCCGGTCCCACTTCTCTGCTTTCAGCACAGGGAGCTAGGAGTCCAGCGATTATGAAGAGAAAGAGTGGCTGGCCACCATCTGGGTCCTCATCCAAAGCATTTCTCAGTGCTGGAAAGGATCTGACACTTGGATTTAAAACTTATAGCTCTTTTTAGTCTTTTCATTAAAAAGAAACAACCTACTTTCTGCCACAAGTCCTCAGCACTTGTGTTACTGTCTTGCCTTCTGGCAGGAGAAGTTCTAATTCCACTCAGTGCAATTCCACCGTCTTACGGCTTATGAGGCAATCCACTCTGACCCGCTGGGCTCGGCACCAACGCCTGGAAGCCAGTGCCACTCCACTGTCTTTCTGGGGGGTTCATCTGCTGCCAAGAGGATAGTCTGTGCCATTTTGCCACTTGCAGATCAAGAGCTCCCTGGTCTGCCAGCACGTGGAGACTGAAAAATCTTAAGATGAGGACAGCCTCGGTAGAAACAGTGAGGTCTGCCCAGGGAGGAGAAGTCTTAAGGTTTGAGCACCATCTTCTGGTCAGTACTTGGCTTTTGAGGCTGCCTCTCCTTTAAAGACTTCCCCTACCCTTCCAGATGGGAAGATCTCAGAACTGACAAGTCTGACTGATTTGCATTTCAGACCAAGGAGGGCTGGAGGTAGGAGCAGTTGGCTGGGGTGAGCTAGCCTGGGCTGGAACTCACTGTTGCCAGGATTGCCTGCACAAAGCCAATGCCAATGAAGACAAGAGCCAGCCCTTGAAAATACTAGTCAGAACCCAGGCTCTGCCTCTGCACTTTTAGCTGTGCCCCACCTGCCTGTGTGCAGCAGTAAAGGCCCCACTTACGAGCACCTCTGCACACAGCCATGTGGTGGTGGTGGGGCCACACCCGATTGGAAAACAGAGTGGGCTCATCTCTGCCAGTGTGTGGTGTGAGGGTAAGTGATCGCTCCGCAAGGGGTCAAGCCACACTAAGCGGCAGGGGGCCCTGCCTGCTGTTCAAACACTGCACTAGCCTGCTGCAACCTTTGGGCATCAAGGAAAAGAAGATAAATGCTGGTCGTTCTTTCTAAATGGCAGGAACCAACATCCATCTAATTGCACTTCATAATGGATTCCACAAACCATTAATTACCAGATTATGTTTTAGGAACTAAAGATAACAGGCTCTGTGAAATTCAGACTCAGAAGGATCACTGACCTGCAGCTCAGACAGCTGGCCGTGCACAAGGCAAGCGCCCTGCCCTGGCAGCAGGAGCAGAGCTAGGGGCAGCCTGCTGCTCCTGTGTGCGCAGGCACACAGCCCGCCAGCTGCAGGTTCATTAGCGACGTCACCAACTCCAGAGGGAGCCAGTGAGCGAGGCCTTCAGGGTGGGTGGAAGCATTAGCCTTTGATTAGAGGAAGAGGATGAGGAGAAGCAGCCTACAGGGAACGTCGTGAAGAACATCCCAGAAGGCAGCTGCTGGATGGCCTCGCATGCAACACTCCCGGGAGTAGCACACCAAAGGCTCTGCTTCAGGAAGTCGACTCTACAGAGCAGTGGGAAATGGGGGCGTTGTGAATGCTGCCACCTTAGTGCCTGGTGCTAGCATAGCCCCAGGAAGTAGATGGAGCTGAGCAGAGGGGAGGCTGGGAAAAGTGAAAAAGCGCAGTGTGCTTCAGGCCGGGTTCCCTCGGAGTCTGCTGTGCTTCTCTCTCATTCCAAATGGCCAGAGGCACAAGCAGGACACAGCCTACTCTGTGGGCGCAGTCCCACCTAAATGCCTTTCTGTCCTCTGAGAGCTGCTGGAGCGTTATACCTCAGCCCCCATCCCACTGCTCTTTTAGACCGTTTCAGAGGTGGCGTCACAGAGGCCTGAACAAAGCCTGGTTATGAAGGACAGAGCTCAGACACTAGGTGTGAGAGCACTGGAGCTTTTCTGTCCTTCGAGGGAGGCCATTTGGGTTGGTGCTAGGCTAAGATGCTCACCACTTGGGTCAGCAGGGAAGGGCAAAGGACAGGATTCGGAACTTCCTCTCTGAAGCAAATGCCGGTTCCTCTGCCAGTGAGCAGCTGCCACACTCACTTGGCCTCACCACAGATCAGGGTCACAGTACCATCCAGCAGGTCCTCCACAGTCACTGCCACGAGCTCAGAGCTGGCCTGAGATGTCTGAGAGTTTGGCAAAGTCACAAACACCTGTGACCCAGCAAGCTGGGTCTCCTCCAGGGTGATCACCTGCTCAGTTGGGGCTGCCGGCTCCGAAGTCTGGATCACCTGAAAAGGAAAGAGCAGGGGGCTGCTCTGGGCAGTGTCCACAGTGAGTGCCCCAGAATTTACATGGCTTCTGTCTCATGCTGTAATGATGATATTTATATTTTCACCTGAGGAGAGCAATTACTTATGCCTAATGGGAAGAGGCAAGTCTAACATACCAATGATGCTAAAGAGAAGGCAGACAAACAATTTAACTCTGTGTACTAAATTGCTATAATTTCGCTCAGTGTGCCACCTCAGGGTGCCTGGACTGTGTCATTACACACCAGTGAACACCGGCTCAGTTTCTCACACTGGGTTTTCCTGTCTTGAGGACAACACTATAGGGCTAAGTGCCATGTGAGAGCAATGCCATCGTAGGCAGGTGGTCTCATGCCTGAAACACGGAAATGGGGTGAGTTACCAGAAGCCAGGCCCACCAGGGGTGGTAGTCCCAGGGCCCCCGTGGGGCTGGCAGCCTTCTTGGAGCAGCACAGCTTCAGGCTCAGGAAGACAAGCTCATTCATTCAGCTCAAGCTGATAGGGCAGCCCCTCTCCTAAGGTCAGGCATGCCGCTCCCAGAGCTGCCTTCCTGGCTCCGGGAGAACCGTTCCGTGGTTAAGCACACCCAGTTCCTTCCTGAACCTCCAAGTTAATGCTCTGACCTGTGGACCCTAGCACAGCTTGATGTCCTTGATATCTTTACACCAGTGAATCCCCAGAGGGCACAGCCACCTGCTCTTGAGAACCAGCCAAGAGAGAAGACCAAGCACACAAGTGCGGAGGGCAAGCTCAGTTGCTTCTCTGCTGCAGAGTGAAGACAGCAACTGGGATACTTAATCAACAGTTATCTAGCAACAGAGTTTTCAAACAGGTTTTCTTTATTTTAGGACTGGAGCCCCCCATGCAAGACATCTTACCAAGAACTCTAATACAAAAAAGATGAAAGCAGAGAGGCTCTAGTAATGTGACATCAGGAGCGTCACCTGGGTCCTGCCCACCTGACCTTCCCTCTGTACCCTGGAGGCTCTAAGAAAACGGTTTACAGACTCACCCATGTGACTGGGCAGTGGGACAACTCAACAGATTAAAGCCTCCACTTACAGTTCCTCTCCAACCCATCTAAGGTCACTAACAGTTGGCCAAGCTCAGTTTATCTTTTCTGCTGCCCTCTCTACAGATCAGGAGGGAGGGTAAGAGAAAACCAGGTAAACACACAAGCTGGGTCAAGATTAGACTCAAAACACTACAAAGAGGCGGCCTTCTCAGCAGATAAGGAAAGGCCCAGATGTGTACAAATATGGCCACGTCCAGCCAGGGGAGCCACCCGAGGCCTTCAACTGCAGTGTCCCTGACTAACAGAGCTTGGCCACCCTGCTTTAAGGTCTCCTGCACACCTCACACATTCCAAGGCATACCTCAGAAGGCGGGTTATGTGTGAATGGGAGGAAAAGCAAAGGTCCTCCAACTTTTGGAAATTCCATCTGCCTTAGGGATCACCAGGAGACTAGAATTTTCTGTTCTGTTTGTGAAGAGGTCCAGAAGCACTTAAGATCATGAATATATTACAGACCCTGAAAGAGCCCCAGGGAACAAGACTGAGTGCTGGGACAGAGGCATCTCTACAGAAGTCCTAGGAGCCCCGTGACCACAATCTGTGTCCCTGGGGGCCCCAGAATCACCTGTACCATCTGGGAGGTGGCTGCCTGGGTTTCAGTGCCCATCACCTTTGGGTGCTCAGACTCCAGGTGGCCATCCAACTGAGCCTGGGAGGTGAAGAGCTCCCCACAGAGCTCACAGGGGAAGGTGCTCTCTGACTGCTTGAAGTGCTCCGTGGTGACGTGGTGCTGCAGTGCTCCAGGGAAGCGGAAAGTAGCCGCACAGTACAAGCACCTGAATGGCTGGGACCCTGGAGGAGGGGAAGCAGAAGAGATGGGCTGTGGGTGGAACGACTGACAGAGCAGGGAAATGTGAGAGAATTAGTGTGAGGACTGTGATGGAGAGGCAGAGCTGGGTTTGGGGGGATCTGAAGATGGTACCACTTGGAGCGACCTTCTTTACAAAAGGACAAAATACAGAACAAATGATAAATACAGAACTAGATGCAGAGTCTTGCAGGGCTAGCCAACTTTCACTGTTCTAAGGAGTGCTCTTTTGGATCTCCGGATGGGACAGCAGTGTCTGCTGTGTGCAGGACGGCATGTGCACGAACACCCGGACTTACAGGGCGAGTGTCCGTGGGCCGGGATAAAACCCTAACACGGAACGGCATGCTTTTAATTCACAAGAACCAAATGTTCAAGGAAGGAGGAAGTAAGTGATAAAGAGTTAGGTAATTCCTAAACCAGGAATCAAAAGCAGTCTATTTTATATAACATTCACAGACCAAAGCCAATGGTCTTCAGCTCTGTGCTCTAACACCAGTGTTCTGAGGGCAGGGTAAACACTGGGTAGAGAGATACGCATGTCCGTAAGTCACAAGTGGAATCCAAAGTTACTCTGAGAAGCTGGATCCTTCCCTCAATCAATTTATTTATGTTTTCCTTTTTACTTGTACCCTTATGAGTGAGTGATCTCAAATCTACGTTAGATTAAGACTAAAATAGCATTTGGGTTAAACTATAAATTCTAAGTGATTAAAAGGTGTTTAATTGGTAGTACTTTTTCTTTGTTAATGCTCATTAAAAATGGTGCATCTTATGTGGGGAGTGGGAGGCTGAGGCAGGAGGATCTCACATTAAAGCTCAGCCTGGGCAATGTAGGGACTCAGTGAGACCCTGTTTCAAAAAACCAAAACAAATAAAACGGTGCACTTTATAATGGCATTTTATTTATTTTTTTTATTTTTATTTTTTCCTGGTACCAAACTCGGAAACTTGAGCTTGTGAGGCAGGCAGTGGAACCACTGAGCTAGATCCCTGGCCCTATACTGGCATTTTAGATTTGATGAAATAAGCAACAACAGTGACAACCATGGATAATACTTAAGGGTTAAGTATTAACCCTGGTGCAAGGCTGTAATACTTCACAGTTACCCTATAAATAGATACTACAATTCCTCTCACTTTCTAAGTAAGGAAGTAACTTAACCTGGGATGCATAGCAGTGAGTGGTGGAGACAAGACTCACACCAGACAGTCTGGCCCAGGGCATGCAGAAGGGACACTGACCTGAATGCTGGCACTTGATGTGAACCTGCAGCAGAGCTGGTGTGGGGAAGAGCTCCTTACACTGCTCACATTCGTGGAACTTCAGATCTGTGAACCAGAGGAAAGAAGTGAAGGGAAAGGGGGAAAAAAAAATGGCTCCTCCAAAATGGAGAGGAACAGGGCTGGGGTGGGTGAGGACCGACACTGCCCACGCCATCTACTGTGTGCATGACCTCGCACCTCGGGGAAGTTCATGTGCATCGGTGGTGAAGAACACTCATCTGGTCCAGACTGTCTGGATGCAAAGAGGGTTGTGAGACTGAGTGAGGAAATACACACGAGTGCTTGGCTGGTGCCCTGCACACGGGAAATGCTCTATACTGACAGCTGTTGTGATTATGCCCAAATTTATCTGCAAGGCAGGTACTAATAACCCCCATTCTGAGAGGGAAACGGGCTCAGAAAAGAGGAGTCACTTGCCAAGGTCATACAGCTGGTAAGTGCTGCAGTCAGGATTTCCTCCTGGGCAAGTCTGCCACCAAAGGTGACACTTCCCACACACTGTGACTAGGTCTTACTCCGAGGCTGGCAGGAGCTCACACTGCTCTAGGTTTCCAGGAGTGAGACTCGCTGCCGCCCAAGCTACTGCTTTAATGGGAGGGTGCTGAGAGGAGAGAGGCAATCCCATGGCACAGCACACCACAGCACTGAAGCCAGCGTTTCTAGACAGAAGACAAGATGCTAATGCATCAGGCCCCTCCCAGGACTACCTCTCACGGGGTCCGGGCTCCCCTAGACTCACCCGCATGCTCTGCTTTGATGTGCTTCTTGTGCTCAATGGTGTTGGGAAAGGTTTTGTCACAGGAGCTGCACTGGAGTGATGAGAACTTGGATGACCGATGGTTCTGAGCAGCAAATACATCTGGGTGGTGGGTCCGATTGTGGTACCACAAACCAGACAATTGCTGTTAAGGAGTTTGGTGAATGTTAGGTCTTGGAAAGTTCTGAGAAAAGCTCATAAATGTAGAATCACACTCTCTTACCCATCACACCGAGTATGGAGGTGAGGAGAGTCTGGTGTCTGTGGGAACAAGGCAACTGGGAACCCATGAAGAGGCCACTCAGGCGGGGGTGAGCCGAGTCCTCCATAAGCCCTCAATCCTCACAACAAGCTGATGGGGGACACTGGCATCTTCCCAGTGAGGCAGAAGCCGAAGCACAGAGAGATTAAAGGACTTGCCCAAGGACACACAGTTAGTTAGGAGCAGGGTTAAGTCTGTCCTCTGGCCTGGAACATCTGTTTTTCACACTGATATGTGCTTCAGCGCTTCCCAGAAGCCCAGGGGTGTAGCAGAGCAATGTGCTAGAGGAAAAGTCCATGGGCTCTAGGAGCAAGCATCCCTCTCCACCCCAGGTTCTAGACCAGCACCAGGAATACTGAATACAATTCCTCAGTGTTCTAGAGATCAAGCCCTGGTCTTACTCAGCTACATCACAGCACAAGGCCTGACACAATGTTAGCTATTTCTAAATCAGCTGCTACGCTCTCTATACCTCCACCTTACAGATGCCAGCAAGGACATTTCTTTCCCGGCCAGTTCCTGACAGATGGGGTTTCTCTTTAGTTCTATATGGGATTTCACTTTAATTACATGCCACGTTCCAAGATAAAAACAGAGTCCTTCCCTTGGAGTCAAAAAAACAAACACAAAGTAATTCTGAGTGGTGATTCACTCCCCATTATCACTGTCTTGTCTCTGGAAACAGGTAGCACAGAGTGGGAGCATCCGAGGGGAAAGATAGTACTCAGCTCAGGATGAGGCAGACATCTAAGAGAAACGTTAAGAGCCCTCTGCTCCAGTTCCAGCCCCCATTGCATCACCGGCCAGATCTCCTCAGAGAATCTGAATGACAATCTGCCTCTTAGCTTTTGGAACGCTGAGTATCAAACCCAGGGCCTCATGCATGCTAAGCATGCATACCACCACTGTGCCGCACCCCCAGCCTGACACCAGAATCAAACTGTCACCTCTTGAAGACCAGATAAGACAAGCTGCAGGTCACACACAGGAACATGAAGGAGCCAAATGGAGAGTAGGGCAGGCACTGGGGAAGCGTCCAGGGGCACAGGAGGTCACCTGGTAAGCCTTGTTGCAGATCCCGCAGCTGAAGGGCTTCCCTCCGACATGGGTCACCATGTGCCGCTCCAGCATGGAAGGAGCACTAAAGATCTTCCCACAGGTGGGGCAAGGGTGGTACTCCTTGGAATGCACCTCGTGGATGTGCTTCCGGTGATCCTGCAGAGTGGGGAAGCTCATCCTGCATTTCTTGCAATCATAAGGATCTTCTATGTCTGGTTTCAAGAAGGACATGAGCAAGAGGAAGAGGCACAGAGGGGAAAAAACACCAAAGGCAGCAATTAGTGAAACATGGCTGATGTGTGCAGCAAGTTGTAAGACTCTGTTTAGATGTCATGCAGACCCCAGAGACCCTGAGCCACTGCAGCTGCAACTGCCCCTGCCTTCACCCTAGGAGGTGGGCTACACTGAGCTTTCTGGATTAACCATCTATGCAGTGGCAAAGAATTCATCTTAATTCCTCATTTTATATCTTAAATGTTAAATTCTACTTCACCACTTTCCAAGGAGTATCACTCTTGTCCTTCCTATCTGCAGTGGCATTTTGAGTTTTGCAGTTCTCTGCATAGATTTCCAACATACAAATAGTATCACTATTTTTTTTGGTCCTCAGCAGTATAAGGAGTACTTCTTGGCTCCCCGCCTTTTTTTTTCCAGTACCAGGGATGGAACTTAGGACCTTGCACTTGCCAGGGTGTGGGGCCACTGAGCTGCATCCCTGGCTGGTTGCCCACTCTAGATCCAACAATAAAACCCTGTGTGTATATATGACATTTAATGAGTGCCTTATGGAGGCACATTCTGAGTGTACTGTAAATCCCTCACTCCTTCCGATAGCCCTGTGAGTAGGCTTCATTCTTATTTTATAGGCTGGGAAAAACCAAGGTCTAAGAGTTAAGTCAGCACCTCACACAAGTGCATAACTAGGATATGGCCCTCACTCACAAGCCCACGCCCTGAGCCATGCTCAACTGGATGTGCCAACTTCTCAGTGTGGCCTCAAACATAAGGAGCACTGATGGAGAATACACTTGTCACCTGGGTGGCACAAAACTTGTCTTTTTCTTAAAGCAACCGAAAACAAACCATTTTTATAATAAAATCTGTTGCCCACAAGAAAGGCCCGACCCACAAGCCAATCTTATGTGTGCACTGACTTAGATTAATGCAGGAATTCTGAGGTGCAGCAGCATTTGGTATCACTGACTAGTTTCCCTGTGGACAGCAGCTCTTGAAATCTGTTTCGCACTGTCTTTTAAGATGCTTTAACACAGATTTTCATGAGCAAAGATGTGGCCCTCGGAAATGCAAGGAATGGGAGACGGTGTGTGTAGCCTGGAGGAGAGAAGGCTTGGGTGACGATATACTGTACTCCAGGGCATGGCAAACTATCTTCTGTCCTCTCCATTCTGAAAATTAACATCTTCTTCCCACTTCCTGATTCATGTGTGATATTATTAGGAAAAGAAGACTAAAACACAATGTCGTCTTTAGATGTAGCCCTGGATCCAAGCCAAGTCCCACCCATATGCAAGTCTGCTATAATTGGAATTTGGGGGCAATCTTGGTAACTCCTTAGGGGAAGAGGGCACACTTTGTACTCCTCCTGCATAACCCAGTATCCACTCACATGCTGGGCACATAGGAGCTCTGGAAAAAGCCTCATTGGCTGGCTGACAACAGACATGGTTGTGTTTACACAAAGCACATGTTGTGAGACACTATTTACCAAAGCTAGAAACTGGTAAGGAGGATATGCAAGGTACCTGGCTTGCAAGTCAGCTCTGATGGTGACAGATGGTTCCCGACAGGGGTGCTCTTATCACTAATAACAATATCTGGCATTTATTGCACACTTTTGTGCGTCAGGCATGGAACTTTATGCTTACGTGTGATAGCTCATTTAATTCTTACAACAACCCAAGGTGGTGGCATTGTATTATTTGCTCTAGTTTGGATGGGGCCGAAGAGGCTTAGAAAGGCAAAGAAATTTGTTTAAGGTCTCAAGAAAAGTAAGTGGAAGGGGGCTGTGTGATTTCAGAGTCCAAGGTTTCAACCTGCCAGCTATTCTACACTGACTACATGCTGGCTGTAACGAGGGAGGCTCGCAGAAAGCACACTGTGGCCAGCCACACAATGCAATAAAAACCTCAGGATTTCCTTTCCCTTCACACATGTACATATACATATGAATGTGTTTTGAATAAAAGCATGTTTGTATACTAGAAGAAAGGGAGAAAGACGGGCAGGTTGTACTGAGGGAAACACAGTGGTTCCTTCGTTCACGAATGCTTCTGTTTGTGAACAATTTGGTTTGCAAACAGGAGCATTTGGCAAAATTTTATTTTGTTTGTGAACTCTGCAACAGGTGATGAATATGACCATGGCCATCTTTTTTGCATGAACAAGAACATGGGCATTCTCCCAGAATCATGGAACAAATTAGCTCTGTAAACTGAGGTACCACTGAATAATAGACTTGAAAGAAAAGGTTGAGCAGGAGGCTTTGAAGGGAACATGCCCAGCCCAGTGTGACAGCAGAAGGAGCTGAGATGGGGTCAAGCTTGTTCCTACGGGGAAATGCAGGTATGAAGAGAGGATGAGAGTGGAGGGCGGGGGAGGAAACAGAAGTTCAGTGGATTAATGGAAACATTCCAGCACCCTGGGAGCCTGTCAGTTACAGAGGCTCTCTTTCAAATATAATTTGTGTCTGTGCAGGCCAAACAGTGCCAGGTGGGCTAAAGAGAAAGACAAGGAAATAGCCTAGACAGAGAGAAATCAGCATTATGCAGTGGAATGTTAAAATAGAAAGGAGAGACTGTGGGCTTTGTAGGAGACTAGGGGAGGACAGCACACTAATGGGGCCTGGCTCTGGTGAATGCCATCTCTCTTAGGATTGCTACATGCTTTCTCAGTGCCAAACCTGGCCCCAAGTGCCTGACACTCACGAACTCAGTACATACTGTGAAAGGTGTGCAGGTGGATGGAGAGGCCATTGGCTTGCCGGAAGCCCTTGCCACAGTCCCTGCAGACATATGGTTTGTCCCCAGTGTGGGTCCTCACATGGCGGGACAGCTCGATGGACTGGGCAAACACAGCATCACAGTACTGGCATGCATACATTTTTCCTGCAAATATACATGAGCTCATGAGAACCAGCACTAAACACGGCATTTCTGCAAACAAAATCTAATTCTAAGAAACACACCAGGGAAATGTCCTCTGGAGAATGACATTAAAACCTCAGGCAATCTGGGTGGGGCCAGGGATTTAGCTCAGTGGTTCTGCCACCTGCCCAAATTCAATCCCCCCGTACCAAAACAAAACAAAACAACAACAAAAAACAACAACAGAAAAGAAAAGAAAAAAAATCAACCTCAGGCGTTCTGTAATATACTAAATGAGAGGTGTGACCACAAACACAGCTCATCACACAGAGAGAGGGTGAGTACGGAGGGACAGCGACAGACTTTTCATCACACAAGAGAACCCATCTCTTCATTAGGCCACCACAATAGTGAAAGGGCTCATTCTCACTCTGCCTTTGGCCAACAGGTACAGCCCTGTGACCAGAAATGCATGAATTTACATCACCTTGCAGAATAAACAGTGTGGATTTGTGACTGCACGCAAATGTTAGACATGGATTAGGAATAAAACTTTTTGGTTTTTTTTGTTTTTTTTTGTAATTTACAGCACTGGGGATAGAGCCCAGGGTCTTTGCACTGAGCTATGATCCTCACCTTTGCCTAAAATTTCAAAATTTTGAGGCAAAGTCTGACTAAGCTGCCACAGCTGAGCTTGAACTTGTGATTCTCCTGCCTCAGCCTCCAAGAGTACTGGGATATAGGCAGGTGGCACCACGCCCAGCTTAAGAATGAAAGCCTTTTCTAGAAGTCATTACATACCCCCTTGGTTTCTCAACTTTCTCACACACACAGTGAGAATGTAATTAACTACACTACCAAAGACTACTGGAAAAATAGGTAAAGAGCAAATCTGGGACTGGCATTGGTACAAAAGGCCAAGGGAGGAAGTAGGGCCATCAGGGAGGTGAGGGTGCAGACCAGGCCTCCCTGGTTCGAGGCCCCACTTCTATCACAGCAATCAGCCTCATTTTCATATTTTACTTACTAGGCTTTGAAACAAGATTTTGCTGGGAAAATGCAGTTTCCTGAGTCAAAGGTTGGAATGACTGAGAAGCAAGGGACTTAGTCCTTGACCTTCTCCACCCTCACTTACTATCTAATCTCATCTCAGAGCCCTGCACGGACCTGCACACCGATAGCTCCACTGTCCCCAGAGCTCCACACTTACCCTCCCAACTCTGCCCGCTCTGCCCTTCCACTCAGAGCTCCACCAGGCATCTCAAATGGACCACAACCAACACAAGCCTCTGCCACTCACCACAGCCTCCCATCTCACTCAGTGAGGTGCCCCTCACTCTGCTGCTTATGGCCCAAGCCCCACAGCCACCTGCAATTCCTCTCTTCCCTCACATCCCACATACAATCCATCACCAGCCCTGGTACCTCTCACACTGTCAACCCCCACTAAGACCTGTAGCTCACAATGCCACCCTGTTAACTGGACCACTGCAACTGCCTCCCCCTGCCTCTGTGTCAGCACTAAACTCTCACCCTGGGATGGTTCATTGGCCATAGTGGCCCAAACTAACTAAGAATGTAAATCACATCCTATTATACCTCTGTTCAAAATCCTCCTGTGGCTTCCTGTGGTCAGCAGAATAACAGGACCCAAAGATGCCTGTATCCTAAAGCCTGAAACCGGTTAACTGCTACCTCACATGGCAGAAGGACTTGAGAGCCGTGACCGAGTGAAGGATCTTGTGAGGACTGTTCAAATGGCCCAAGAGAATCCAGAGGGTTCTGGCAGAGGGAAGAAGAATCACAGGAGGCACGGTGACAAAAACAGAGGCTAGAGTGATGTCGCCACAAGCCAAGGACTGTGGGTAGCCTCTCAAGGCCAGGAAAGGCAAGGAACAGATCCTTCTCCGGTGCCCCCAGCAGAAGGAACACATCCCTGTGCAACTATGATTTTAGCCTTGTCAGGGCCTTTTTTTAACTGCCAGCCTCCAGAATGGAAAGATAACACGTTTGTGTCATTTTGAGGCACCACTCTGGCAATTTGTCAAAGCAGCACTGAAACTGACCTTCTTCGCATAACAGTCCCTACCTGGCTATGAGACCCCATAGGACATGTCCTGGGCAACATCTCCTAACATACTCCCCTCACAGACTCTGCTTTAGCTCCTTCTAGTTTTTTGTGGTCTCTCAAGCAGATAAAGCTCATTCCCACTTTGGGGATCGGGTTCTACACTTGACGCTCCCCTCCTAGATCATCTATTGGCTCCACTGCTCAGTGTATTTGGCTTTCAAAATTAACACCCTTTCTCATAGACATCACCGATGGCAGGAATAGCACCTACTCTCAACCCTGTCATTCGCTGCTGCTCACCTGGTTTTATTTTTCTTCACAGAAATAGCTACACGCTGGATTTCTACTGCAAATTTATCTACTGTGTGTTTTACTGCTTGGAGTGTAAACTCCATGAAAGTGAGGTGTACGTATTTATAACGTCCCCACACTGTAAACAGCACTCAAGAAATGCTTTAATCAGCAAATATTTGAGGGCCGACTATTACCAAGTTCACTGAATCCAGTGTGTGTGTGTATGGGGGTGTGAGTGTGCTATGAGCTCTACCTTCACAGAGCTTGCACTCTAAAGGGGAGACGATAAACAGGTAACACAGACACTCATCACACTATGGAGAAGAAAGATGTGGGGAGCAGGCTGGGGTGCTGAGATTCCAGGGTGGTGGGAAGGGCTTAAAGAGAAAGTAAGGTGTGAGGGAAAACTTGAGGGAGGTGAGGAAGTAAACCATGAAGAGGGAGGCACCCCAAGAAAAGGAAAATGGGCAGAACAAACTGAGGGAGCTGGAGAGTAATGAGACGAAGTCAGACAGTGATCAGGTGACTTAATCATGGATGGCCTAGCAGGCTATCAGGACTTCAGATTTCACACTGTGTGAGATGAGAGTCACTGCAGAGTTTTGAGCAGAGAAGTGACCTGAGGTGCTTTAGTTTAAAAGTACCCAGGGAAACGCCAAGAGCAAAGAACTGGTTAGGAGGGTATTGTAACAATGCAGGGGGATGATGGAGGCATTTTTTTACACACACGTGCTCCAAACTATACGTAGATTCCTCCAGAAGCCTTCCCTGATAACACACTTTCTCCCCTCCAACTGGGCTGGAACCCCTTTGCCCTCTGCTGCAGGGTCCTGGTGCTACTCAGTGTTACACTACCGTTTATCTGCTGTCTCTGTAACTCCCACCCTAGGTCACCAGCTACGGGATCCTGAATTCCGGTTTGTCACTCAGCATCTGTCACTGCCTGATCCACAGCAGGTGCTCCAGGAGGTCTTTCTCAAGCTTGAACTACACATCAAAGCTCAAAGAATTCCTGGCTATGTAAATTCTGTAACTACAAAACCACAATACTATGCTGGCCAGCCTCTCCTCAAAAACTCTCGCAGCAAGCATTTCACACGCCTGTGCACAGATGGAGGCCTCGTCAGCTTGGGCCGAGAGTATGGGATCTAGTGTTGTTTGTAATTTCCCTGACGTATCCATGGTGCCTGATACCAAGTGGGTCTGCAGCAACTCCCACTATGAAGGTCTGCAGGAGACAGGAAGGGCTCCCCTGCCTCACCTTCTGAGTGCTTCTTCTTGGTGTGGTAGGCCAGGGCCGAGGCTTGGGTGAAGGTCATGAGGCAGTGCTTGCACATGAAGGGGCGGTCCCCAGTGTGCAGGCGGAGGTGGTTCTTCAGGGTGGAGTTGGCTGCAAACTTGGCCCCACACTCCTCACAGGAGAAAGGCTTCTCATCAAAGTGCTCTGTCAGTTTATGGTACTGCATGCCTGGGGAGGAGACCAGGAGAGAGACCAGCAGTCAGTGTCAGGAGCTCAGCGGGCCGCCTGACAGTGCCTTCTCAGGCCAGGCCTCAAGGGAAAGTATGGCACAAACCACTCCTTCTCTTAAAGAGTCCCAGCCACCCAGAAATAGATAAACAAAACTCACTTTTATGTTTCATTAGGTTTACACAACATCTCAGACAAGGGAAAACAACTCTGACCTTACATCCCATGATTTCTGTGACTCCTACTAATTTCCCAGAAGCAAGTGGTACAGAAACCTAGAAATCAGCTTTAAATGGCAAGTCATTACTACCGTGAATAACTTCTAAATTATGGCGCACTAATTCCATCAGACACTAGAGTAGGAGTTTAGCTCAATATCTTAAAATTCCCTAACAATTCAAAAAGTAAGTGGTACCAGATGGGAAATTTAACAGATGGGGAATCAATGCTCAGGAAGCGGATTTCAGAGCCAATGCTCTTCGGAAAATATTATCCTTACTCTTACGAACCTGCTCTATTGTCTAAGCCCATCCACTCTGATGGCACATAGCTTAGGGGCCAGGCTAGAATCCAAACTGCAGTATTGCAACGATCATCCTCCACGATCCTTCTGGACTATACCTGAGGCATGAGCAAACTCTCTTCCACAGAGGTCGCACGTCACTGGTAGCCTCTTCTTCTTCTTCTTGGGGACTTCAGGGTCTCCACTGGTACCGTGGGCCTCCAGCTGATGCTTCTCCAGCTCTTTCTTGGAACCCTTGGTCTCACTGCAGTCCTTACACTGCACCTGTTTGCTCTTGGCCACACGGCAGCGCTTCATGTGCACCTTGAGGCGGCAGTAGAAATGGAAGCTCTTGTCACAGGCCTTACACACAAAGCTCTTCTTGCCGGAGTCTGGGGAGGCAGAAGTGTCTTTCTCTTGTTGCTCTGGCAAGGAACCAGCATCTCCCTGGGCATTCTGTTCTGCAGGCTGGCAGTCAGCTTCCACAGCCTTTTCATTTTCTTTGTCATTGGCTTCAAGGTGAGATTTATTACTCAACCTCCATATTTCCTTCTCTCCATTTTCCTTAGTAAGGAAACCTGCACAGAAGATAAACCTCATGGCTCTGGGAATTGTGGTTCTACTTTGCTTTATAACTTCTCTAATATACTCTTAGAGGAGACTGGAGACTACTTGAGATCCTCAAAAAACTGAAGTAACAAGTATCACTGTCATCTTACCTCCCCATAAACACAAATAGCACCAGGTTACATTTGCGTCTTCTGGCTGTTAGGTACCGAGAGCATACAAAAAGGGTAAATAACTCGAGGTACTACAGCCACTCACATAAGCTGTTGCCTCTTTTCTTCAATAAAGAATGTGCCTGGGGGCCTAATAGGCTCCGCAACCCCCTGTTCCTTACCAATATGTGCCAATTCCTGCATGACGGGCTGCAGGCTTGGGAAAGATTTGTGGACTCTGCACAAGAGGTGACAGATTGCAATGGCCGAGACTGATTTTTCCATGGCTCTGCTCAGCACCGCTCTCAAGGAAGCTTCAGGGCTGGTTGTCTCAGAGGAAATGCTCAGAATCTAAATGAATACCACAAGGCAAAGGTATGGGGTTCATATCAGCAGACTGCCCCCATGGTTTCCAACTTAAAATAAAGCTAATTCTGGAAGGGACAGTTCCATCGACAAGCAGTTTATACTTGTCTTCATGACACATATAATGGGACAGACCTGTTTTCCAAAGGCAGGGAAATGAATAAAACAAAAAGAGGAAGCACATATCCAGATAAATGTCCAGATACAAAGGAGGCATGAACAAGGAACCATTAATATTTTCTGTAAAATTATGTTCTTAGCAGCCAGGAGTCTTCCAGGGAGTTTTTCTAGATCTTCACATTAAAACCCAGGAGGGCTATAGGATTTGGTGGTTGGTCTTTCTGTCATGAAGATCAGGATAATTTTTCATAATATATAATTGTCTCGATGTCTGGAAGTAATTCTGCATGATCAGTGGCTTCATATTTTTAGACACTTAGATGTACCCTTTTAAACATCGTTTTCTTTCATAAAGAAACTCAGCGTTCTAAAGCAGGTTCAAATAGGGGCTTTAAAGAGGCCAAGAATATGATTTCAAAGCCATTCCCTTTCAGAATGTTAGAGCTATCAGCAGAGAGTCAGCATACTGAGAAAATAAAGTGAAACCATCCACAGATGGCCACATGAAATTTTCATTTTGGAAGATATTTTATTTCTGCTCTTTTCAAGTCTATCTAAATAAACCTGATATCCCTGGAGGCAGGCATGAGACTAATTAGGAGGCTAAAACTGATCAAGTGCAGAAGCCAAGCTCTGGAGTACGCAGTGTGCTGGAGAGGCTAGCACAAGTCCTGCCTCTGAAACCCCACAGAGACATGGGCCATCTTCTTCCCAGCTAAGAGTCAGATGGAGGTGGGGCTGTCCCACTGGTGTGGATGGTCAGAAACATGCCCTTCTGCACACTCCCCATGCCCACCTGGATCAAAAAGGCACTATAAGTGAATTCACAGTTTAATTTTATGTACCTTTATTCTTCCCTGTTTAAGATGGACATGATCCTGGGGTAGATATCCACGAATCCCCCCCAGTCCCTACCTGATTTTTCTGGGGTGCTGGCACACTGTGAGAAGCCTTCTAGAAAATGAGCTGGCATTATCTTCTGCCCCATAAGGGTAAAAGCTTTGCTCTATTTATGTATCGTGGCTCCTTCAAGGAGCGAGAATAGAACACGTAATAAGACCAGCTTTACTTTCCTTCATCTGAAAGAGGCTGCATCCCAGAACATGTTAGGGAACAGAATCAAGGTTTCCCTTGAGATGTACCTAGGTTTAGGCAATAGGAATAAATGCAGGTATAAGTTATATAACTGGGTTATGAATTCTGGCTTCAAATCTTGCTCACTGGACATGCAACTTAACCACGTGGAGCCTGAGCGCCACTTCCTGAAAAATGTGATGGTACCACCCAATATTTGCAGTTGGAAGGTTAAAATGGCCAAGGTTATAAAGAAGAACTTAACACAAGGCCAAGAACATAGCAGTTACTTGGCAGATGTTAGTTCTTCCCTTGGGAATGAAGACAGTCCCAGGTATCAACCCAGAAATCCTTTCCAGAATTCAGTTTGCTTTGTATTTGCCCCACCTCTTTCAAAGTCCTGGCCAGCTGCTCTTCCTCCAGGGAAAAGGGCTTGACCTCACCCCTCTGTTGGATGGCCTCTATGATCAACTTGCTATGCCTCAGGACTATTTCTAAGGCAGCAGTTTCTGGGGTGGTCACTGAAAGAAAGGGAAATTGGAAACTCAGTCAAACTACGGATACCATTTTTTCTTTCATCTTCTTCAACGAAGTTCTTCATAATGGAAATATATTTCAGCCTATCTCCCATCTAGGGTTGTGTGTGAGGAAAATGACAAACAGCACTGTGATCAGAGTATAATAATGAATATAAGCTTAGAATAATTACTGTAATTTAAAATAAAAAAGGTTTTTAAATGCTATACCCTTGAACAAAATTGCAAGACCTTACTGCTTTAAAAACGTATACATTTTTATGGGGTAATGTGATATTTTGGTGCATGTATAAATATAATGGTCAGATCAAAGTAAGCCCTTTTATCTCTTTAAACACTTCTGTGAACACATTCAAAATCCTTTCTTCTAGCTTTCTGAAACATACAGTATGTTATCATTACCTACAGTCACTCTGCTGTGCAGTTGTTACCTACTAGTTGTTACTCCAAAGGGCAGAGAAACAAATGACTACCATGCAAGAGCTTTTTCTACTTCCTGAAAGATGGACCATTATCTCTACTGGAGGCAAAACCGTGGCAGAGGTCAATTTACCTGCCTGGAAGAAAGCATCGGCACCAGGCTCCTTTCGTATTTCTTCCATGACCATGTTCAGTGGGCAGGTCTTTGTCTCCTGAGCTGCCAGAAGCAGCTGCCAAATGGCTACTGCAGAGAGAGTCTGCTTTTCTAGAACTGCTGACATCAGGGAACTTAAACCACCTGAGCCGGTGCCCTGTTTCACGAGCTTCTCCATGACCTTCAAGATGAAACACAAACACATGTAAGACACACTCCAACTTGGCACAGCTACAGCGCTACAAGTTTAGGTATTGGGTTACAGGGTATGTATTTCTGTGAAGGAATTTTTCAACATTCTTCACCTTTCTGGACCTAGGAGATTTCTTTTTTTCTTTCTTAAAATCAAATTTATTTGGGGGACAGTGGTTGGGGATGTAGCTTGGTGGCGGAGTGCTTGCTTAACATGTATGAGGCTCTGGGTTCCGTATTTCCAGCACCAAAAAGAAAAAAAAAATGTTTTTAACTGAGAGATTTCTTATACATGGCAAAGTTCTTCATTCTCCCTTTTCAGTGTTTTTCCTTCTTATCATAGAAAGTCAACTATCCTACTTATTTTTCTGCCTTAGAAAAATGAATTACCTTCTATTTCTTAGCATTTCTCAATATAGCTGTGTATGTATACTTGTAGAGAATACACGTATGTATATCAATAGTTCTCCTTCTTACCCTCCCTCTCTTCAACACCAAACCGTGCTCTTACTTCTCTTTCTCCAGGGGCTATACTCTTCACGTGTGAGATCATCTTTAGCAACATCTGGCTATCTGTGAAAATCTCAGATAGGTTTTCATGATACCGTCGCAGTAGCTCAGTCCCATAATCATCAGGGCTTGGCTGGACTGTAAGAATATTAGCAAACAACATTGTCAGATGTAACAAAACCCCCTAAGGGCTTCTACAGAAGACTAAAGGCATTACAGATGGGAGAAGTAGATGAGCACAAACAAGTCCAGCTGCTGGCTTGGGGCTACACCCACACATACTCAGATCTCCTCTGGTTGACACTTTGTGCTTCATGGTCATAAAACCACTAAAACTTTGGGCCGGGGATTTAGCTCAGTGGTGCTGCCACCTGCCTTGCAAGCACAAGGTCCCAAGGTCAATCCCCAGTTTCAAAAACAAAACAAAGAAAAAACCCCACTAACACTTTGATAGTCAGTGCCTGGTGCTAGAAGGCAGCGACTGCTCAACAGGAGGGTAATGAGAAGGCTGTACAAGCAAGAGATTCAGATGTACACGCTCAAGGGGTAATGTCTGTGAAGCCCAAGGAAAAGGGTCACATGGTAATCCAAAGCACAAGCAGCCACAAGTCAGAACTGTGCCTGTTAAGAAGCTGCCCCACAGCGCTGTTTAGATGCCCTCTGAGCCCATCTGTTAGCTACTCTCTTTTAACAAGTTATACTTACTTGAAATAAAAACAAAACAAAACAAAAACAAAAAGGATCAGGCATGTCCCCAGCTTTGCAGATATTTAAAATTTTATTCTCCCTTTGACCCAATAAAAATTACCTGAAGGCAGACCTGGGGATTTAGCTCAGTGGCACTTCACCAGCCTTGTAAGCACAAGGTCCTGAGTTAGAGTCCCAGTACCAAAACAAAACAAAACAAAAATTATCTGAAGGCAAAAAACAAAACAAAAAAAACTCCACAAATATACAAAGACTAGTTTTTACTGAGTGCCCACTACATGCTAGGCACTGTGCTAAATGTTTTAGAAGTATTATTTCATAGGAGCCACAAAAAATGTATGATACATACCACTCTCATACCTGTTCCAAGAAAAAAACAGGGTTCAGAAAAGTCAAGTTACTTGCTCAGTGTCACAGAATGATGGAGTCAGGCTCCAAGCACAGGTTGTCTTAACACTAGAGCAATAGTATTAACCATTATGTTTTACCTGCCCCCGAGTAATACAGTCATCCTTATGATGGAAAAACTACACAGCCTTCAAAAAACAGGATTATAGAGAGTTTTATGAAATGCGGAGAAAATGTCATTACATTGTTAAGTAGGGGATATTGTAAGTATTATAAAGCACAGCAGCATTTAAATGTCATAAAAGTCGAGTAACAGTTAATATATGTCAAAATGTTACTATTGATACACTTGAGTGGTAGGACTTTTAACGCTTTTTTATTTTTGGAATTATCCAAGTTTTTAAAGTATATTTTAGTCTTTGTAAACTACAAGTTCTTCTATTTCCTAAGTATCCTCTTTCTCAAAGCCATCTCAGTTCTAAATGCCATGGGAGGGGAAAACAGGCACCAGGCAGGCTTTCTGAGGAACATACGCGGACTCACCCCCCCCCACCCCGCTGAATGGACAGAGTGGTTAGGCCCAGGACTGCTGGAACCAAGCAGCACTCGGGTGGGAATGGGGCAATGAAGAGTTGCATTTTTGCAACTTGCCAGAACACCGAGCCTTGTGAGCCCTTTGTTCCTGCAGCTTTCACAGGTGATCCTGTACGGCCTCAGAGAGCCTGCACCATGGGAACAGCAGGAGGGAGTATAACAGAGAAGAGTCCATGTTATCCTACGTGCCCAGCATGGAGCCAAAGGGTGTTCTAAGCTGTAATTTTCTGTCAGAGCACCTCCCATCCAGAGAATGAAAAATTAACTAATACCTGTGATGCTGGGCGAAGTGGCTAATTTCTGCAAATTCTCCAGCAGAAGATCCAAATTTGGAAATGTCATCTTCACGGCCTGGAGGAGTTTTACCAAACTCTCAGCAGTCAGGGTCTTCTCTTCAGTTACTCTGTGTAACATATCTTCTATTGTCTCTTTGGGTGTTCTGCCCTCACAGCAATTCAGAATCACCTGCAGTGGCAAGCAATCAGCCAGACAGCAGTTAACGGCAATTCAAAATTTATCTGACACACACTGAAAAACCCAGCAAGACGGCATTACAAGATGCCCTGTCTCCAAATCCTCCTGTGTTGGTTTCTAGCACAACTTTTGTCATGGCCCCTTCCTTACTCTGTTTCAATCAAAATCCAAATGCTCTCTAAACAAGTAGTTCTTTCTCAATTGTAAGTCTGTGTATATTCTTTGCCTTCAACAGTTCACATTTACTGAAATCATTCTTACACTTGGACTATGTTATAGTTCATTCAGACACTGAGACTAAGAAACAGACTGGCAATTAACAGTTATAATGTTTTCCAATCTGTGTTCAGTAAAGTTCGTGATGTTGATACAGGTTGTAATTTTCAGAACAATTCTATTATTTTACTTCCTTTCCAGAGCAATTTAAATGCCCAGATAATTTATCTGAGGTCTCCAAATAATAAAAAACTTTTCTGGGTTTTCTTGTGAATGTTTTATACCCATTCCTTTCATTCTCAATGGCCACATACATCGGTTCTAGCCATAACTCAACAATTCCACTCCCTTGTTCTTCCTCGGTGTGCCAAGTGACGAGTCAAAAGGACACAAGGCTCTAGCAAAGACTGAGAAACAAAACACATGACAGGTATTTTCCTACAACCACAGAACCATCTCTTATTGAACTACAATGCAATAAACATAACATGGCTCTCACAGAACTGATAAAGCAGAGATTATTTTAATATATGTAATCCAAAGATTCACAGTAACTGAATTTTGAGCTTTCCTTTGGGGAAATATCAGCTCTCAAGAGAAACAATCAAGATCAGTTATGGTCATATACCAGAGGCTGCCACTATCAAATTAACTCCTATTTAAAAATAATGAATGTGGCTTTAAAACCAGATTGCTTTACATATATAAAAAGGAGATATATATGTATATATATAAATCAAGTTGTCATATTCCTTGTCAATACAGAACATAGTCATTCTCTTTGTTTAAGGTCTAATATGTAATAGATTTCTACTAAATGAATCATAATTAAAATTTTAAGAGCTTATATTTTAAAACCATACTCATTTCACTCCTATATCTTAGTTGCTAAGCAATAATCTGATACATAATGAAGCAGCCAGACATTAAGAGTAAGGATGAGCTTTAAAACTAGACAGACTTCATCTGTACCTACTATTTATTTCTTGTGTGAGACTGGGTAAGTTGTTTAATTATTTGAACCTTATTTTCCTCATTTGTAAATGAAGATAATCATACTAATACTTGAACACAGTCATTTCTATAAAATGAAGCTGCTAGCTGGGTATGGTGTCACACACAGCAATCCCAGCACTTAGGAGGCTGAGGCAGGAGGATCGCTGTGAGTTTGAGACCAGCCTGGACTACATAGTGAGTTTAAAGTCAGCCATAGTGAGACCCTGTTTCAAAAAATGAAAGAGAGAGAGAGAGAGAGAGAGAGAGCAGTAG